CTCTCTCCCGCCTTCCCTCCCGCGCTCTCTCTTTCTCTTCCCACCCGCCCTTCCCTCCCTCGGTCTCCCTCCCTGCCTATCTCTCCGTCCCTCAGATCGGTCCCAACAAACCGAATCTACCTCACGCGGAAACGAAAGTGGGGGGGGGGAGCAAGCGAAGCGGGGCAAGCGGCATCTGCCCGCGTGCGGTGTGCGGGGTTGCTGCTTTTAAAAGACGGGATATATATATAACAACAGATCGGCAAAATGTCCACCGAAATGACCAGAGGGTCCAATACCTTCCCTTTTTAGCAAGTTTGAAAGAATTAAGGATCCTTTAGCCTGGAAAGCAAGGTAACAGAACTGAAGCGTAGAAAAGCGAGGCTGGCCTGGAGAAAGCGGAGGACCGCGAAAGCCGATGGAAATGCAGAAGGAGAGAAGGAAGAAGCTCTTATTCAGGCAGCAAATCGTTTTATCCTGAGGGATATAGAGCCTCTAGTTTGGATTACTATACGAGTGGATGTCAAATGGATTGCACGCATTCATGGGAGGGCAGGTCTGTAGTTTGAAGACTCAAGAGTTACTATACTGATTCCAAAGGCCACTTGTAGGACAAGTCCAGCAGGAGAAGGTTAAGTCTCTCATGCCTGCTTTTTTTTTTTCTTAATGTCACACATTTCGTTGGTCTTTTTTTAAAAAAAAAATGCCCCCAAGAAAAAGGAAGATGCAGAACTTAAATTCAATCTCTCTCTATATATATATAAAAGCAAAATACCATTCATGCATCATCACAAAATCTCCAGAACTATAAAGCCTACAAACTTGAAATTTGGCACTTATGTTCCTCTTGGCTTCTAGGGGCTCACGAAGAAAGGATTTTTGGAAATGACCATCAGAGCATTAGTATTTCCTGTATTATTAACACACACGGATGCTAAGGAATTCAACTCCCCCTCCCCACCTGAAAAGAAATCTAATCCAAGTGCAAACACAAGCAGAGGAGTTTCAGTTTTACTTTCTCAGCACTAAGCAGCTTTAGTACAGAACAATTGAGCTAAGCCATGCCCAGGCTCCTTGCTGTCTCCTTGCCCAACAGCAAACACTGTTTCATTTTCCAAACAGCCCTCAATTCTCTCACACACTGACACTAGCTAGATGAATACTGATGAATGCTGGTGGTAGGCAGAGGCACAATTTTCCCCCTTATTTTCCTCCACAAAAACTAAGCCCAATCACATAGTTTCGTAGCGAAGCACAGGGGTCGATCTAGTATGTAATAAACCAAATGTAGATAGAAAAACAATTACAAATAAATAAAACAAAGCCACCTTTCCTTGTTACAATCCAAGCGCAATAAACCCAAAGCTCTTCATAATAGATACACACCCTTTTTGTGGGATGTAATTTAATAGCACATATGTGTCTTGAAACTTTTAACATATAAACAGTGGCTCAGCAAAGAGAACTAACAGGGGCCATGACCAAATGTACTTTCCATTTGATTGCAGATTGGCAACATAGGGAAAGAGCAACGGCCAAACTTTCTAAAGACCTTCTCTGGAGAATCATAATATTTTGTTGGGTTAACCCATTTTTAAAATTATAATTGGCATATTTGGCATTTTTTAAAAGCTGAGAAATTGGTTTTGTAATATAAGATCCCCTGTTCAAAATTTATTTTATGTAATCCAGTGTGTTTGTGTTAAAGAGAGTTGTATAATGAAATTTTAGTTTTGCTTCTGTGCTTACATATATTTGCTTAAATACGTGTAAACCTAGTAAATTTAAGAGGCTACTAAATAGATATCATAACAAAGCTAATAATCTAACTATATATTACCATGCAAGAAATTATGATTATATTTCAGTAATATCAAATAAATTTTGCAATGTGGAGGAAGGGTCATGCTAATTAATTCTTTAAATTGCTCAAAAGATATTTTTTTCCAAGAAGTAACTGGACTTTCTGGTTGTTCTTTGAAGACGTTTCACTTCTCATCCAAGAAGCTTCTTCAAAAAGTCCAGCTGCCTCTTGAAAAAAAAATCACCTTTGGAACAACCATGACTGAGACTTTCCGTAGACATTTAATTCTTTAAATGTTCATGAGAAAATTTTAGGAAGATTAATTACATTTAAAAGGCCATCATACTTTGCACCAGCAAAACTGGAAAAGATGTTTAAAGATAAATCAGCAAAATGCTGGAAGTGTCATGATGAACCTGGAACATATTATCATATGTAGTGGACATGCATAGAAGCTAAAAGATATTGGACAAAAATATGCACATGGTTGGGAAAAAAATGATAAAGAAACATAGATTTGAAATCTGAAATATTCCTATTAGGGATGGTATTCATCTTTGCACATTCAAATATTTCTCAATCACTTTAACACTGGAAATTAATCCAATAACACTGGAAATTAAAGAAAAAGAAGAAAATGAATTTATATGATATGGGATTTATTTTATCAATGGTTAGAAAATAAAACAAGTTAAAATTGAGTGGATGAATATATAAAGAAATTAGTTAAGATGGTTATAAAGATAACAAATATAAGAGAAAATGATTTATGATTTACAAAGAAAATGTGATTATTGTTATATTGGTTAAACATATTGATTATGATTGTTAACACAAGATATATGTGCCCAGTCGACACACTGTATGAATGAAAGATGGAATTATTGTAACTATTAAAAAATTAAAAAAAAAAATTTAAAGGCCATCAGTCTGCTCAAATGATATTTCTGTACTTGCATTAACAGAATATAAAGCTGAATAAAACTGGGAATTAATTATGTAACAGTTCCCATGTTTTGTCCCCTATGAGATTCTTATGAGTATTAGGGCATATTATTTCAAACAAAAACCAACAATTTGCAAAAAAAATATTCTGTTTCCAATACATTTGGTTAATAAACTTTAATGAAAATCCCACATCCAAAGCATAAAGTTGATATAGTTCTAATTTTAAAAGAATGATATGATTCCAAAGTGTGTTCTTACACACTTGAGGGACAATTTTCATATCTTCCAATCATCTGTTTGGAAAGAAAAATGCACATATCAACATGGGTGATAAACTAAAAACAACCTAACGATGATACATCAAAGTATCACTTCCCTCTAACTCAAATTATCTTGTCTAAAGTTATTATCATTATTATTGAACCACAATTCTGTCTTGTAACACCTTCAGGTAGATGAACCATGGATTTAAAAATGACCACTAGCCCAAATGTGAGCATCTGCCATATAGGAGTTTAGTTAAACTTAGTTTAGTTTGGCTAAATTTAATTGTATCCATGTATCAACAATATTAAATTCTCACATGCTTGCATGACAACAGTCTAACTCTTAGAAAGGATTTTCTGTTTTTAAATGTTGCTATGATCCTTTATTGTACCCAATACTAAATTAAAAACCAAGTACAGTTATAAGGTCTACCGGTCAACTGAAAATGTTGGTCAAACAATTATATAAAATATATACATTATCAGACTGGAGAAGCATGTATCTAAACTATATCACTGTCTCCGTTATTAATCACAACTGTTTCATAATAATATTCAGTATCCAACATTTCTTGTGCAGCTATGAAACTTGAAGCTTTATATTTCTACCCCTCTGGCCATTTTTGAATTTCTACTAATCAAAATCTGATCCACACACTTTTTAGCACCGCCAAAAGATTTTGCTATCATTTTTCATATGGGATAAAATTAGTTTCTTACAAAAAAAAACACCAAAAAAACAAACAAATGTCCTTTAGGAAGAAGCAGTTTCACTTTGTAAACCTTCTTTCCCCTTTTAGATGTTCTTCACAGTTCTCGAAATGTTGATGTTTGTCATTCCTAAGGATTAGTTTGTTGTTTAGATGAATTATTTGAAAAGTTACAGATTTTTCAACATTACACAGTTGGAATAGTGTTGTGTTGAAAAATTCTTTCTTTTTTAACCCATTTTATCTAGTTTGAGATGATTGCTTTCAAAACTGATTTCTGTAGAGCAGGAGAGGGGGAACCCAGTGAATTATCACTTGAGTTACAGAGAAATTAAAGGATTCCTGTGAATATTCTGTTGCTGATTTCTCATCACTCCCAACATTTGCAGTGTCTCTTCAGCATGTTCCGTGAGAACTTGAGGAAACCTGTTGTTCTTTTCCAAATCCAAACATGGATGTAGTTAAGGAGGCTGCAGAATATCGGAGAAAAATATAACAGAAAGAAAACATGGATTCTCCCCCAAACCCCAT